ATGTCTGTGTGTGTGAGTCCATATGTGTTTGTGTGCGTGTAAGTCGATGGGTTTCTATGTGTGTGGGTCCATGTCTGTGTGTAAGTCCATGTGTGTGTCTGTCTTTTTCAAACGGACAAATCCCCATGTGTGTGTGTACGTACAAGTGTTTGTGTGTGTGTGTCAGTCCATATGTGTGCGTATCAGTCGCTGTGATGTGTGTTAGTCCACATGTGTGTGTAAGGCCATACGTGTGTGTTTCACTTAATGTGTGTGTATCTAAGTAAATTCGTGTGTGTGGGTCGATGTGTGTGCATGGCTCCATCTGAGTGTGTAAGTCAATGTGCGTTTATGTGTCTGTGTGTCAGTCGATGTGTGTGTGTTAATCCATGTGTGTGTCTCTAAAGTAGATGTCTGTGTGTCACAGTCCATATGTCTATGTGTGTGTAGGCCAATGTGTGTGTCAGTCTATATATGTATGTGTGTGTAAGTCCATGTGTGTGTGTCTTAATCGATATGTGTGTGTAAGTGCATGTGTGTTTACGTCAATGTGTGTGTGAGTCCACGTATATCTGTGTGTGAGTCGATGTGTGTGTGTGAGAGTCGTTGTATGTGTGTACGTCGATATATGAGTGTGTTACTCCATGTGTGTGTATCTAAAGTGGATGTCTATGCGTGTGTGAGTCCATATGTGTGTGTGTCTAAGTGCATGTGTTTGTGTGTGAGTCGATATGTCTATGTGTGTCAGTCCATGGGCGTGTGTGTTAGTTGCTTTGTGTGCGTGGCTCCATGTGAGTAAGTGTAAGTTCATTTCTTTGCGTGTCTGGAGGTGCATGTGTGCGTGTGAGTGAATGTATGTGCTTTCTTGACCTGCTCAAGGCCTATGATACCATCAGTAGGCCTGGCCTCTGGGTTGTTCTTCATGCTTTCGGAGTCCCTCACCCTTTGCTCACAATCCTTAAGTACCTTCATGCTGGTGAGCGGCCCCACGTCAAACTACGTGGCCATCAGTCAGAGCCATTCCCTCTACACCTTGGGGTGTGACAGGGATGTCCTCTGGCTCCCACATAATTTAACATATATTTTGGCCAGGTAGTTCATGAAGCCTTCAATGGCTGTACCGCAGGAATTACCATATAGTACAGATACAATGGGAGGCTGATCAATGCCCAGGTGCGGTCAAGAGATGGCTCCCTATTGCTCAACCATGTTATGTATGCCGATGCTCTGGTGATTGCTGCTCACTCAGAGGAGGAGTTTGAGGCACTGTTGCTGAACCTGGAGCTGGCCACGAAGAGGTGGGGCCTCACCATCAGCCCCACCAAAACTAATCACCTGCCTGGGTATTTTGTACCATCGGACAATCCACCCCGACAACTCACAATTGGTGATGCGGCAGTTGTGGAGAGATTGGAGAGATTCCCATACCTGGCCAGTGTGCTCTTGACCGGCTTCGGTTTAACAGCAGAGGTCTCACTCCAAATCAGTCGAGCGCCATTATCTTTTCATCGGCTGCATTACGCTGTGTGGAACCTACCTGGTCTCTCGCTCCCCATGAAGCTCCAGGTCTTCTCGGCCACGGTAATTCCCTCTCTTCTCTACGCTTGCGAAACGTGCGCCCCCCTAATGGAACATCTTCGCCGGTTAGAAACATTTAGGCTGGCCTGCTAACGATCCATTCTGGGTTTAACCATATGTGTCTGTGTGCATCTAAGTCAATGTGTTTCTATGTGTGTGGGTCGATGTCTGTATGTAAGTTCATGTGTATGTCTGCCTTTTTCGCCCCAGCAACGCCGGGTACTTACCACTAGTAGGAAATAAATGGTGGCATTTCCTAGATACCAGACGGGGAGTGTTCTGGCTCATGGCAGGTGTCTTGCCTCGCGGCAGATGTGGGGCGTATGTACACAGGAATTTCCTGTTTTTGATGCTAAGTTTGATCACGTGACCCACTTCTCTTTGCAGATCTTCTCCAAGTCATTAAGGTTTCGAGGCTGACGTTTGGCAACTCGAACCTTCAGCTCCCTCCACAGATTTTCTATGGGATTAAGGTCTGGAGACTGGCTAGGCCACTCCAGAACCTTAATGTGCTTCTTCTTGAGCCACTCCTTTGTTGCCTTGGCCATGTGTTTTGGGTCATTGTCATGCAGGAATACCCATCAACGACCCATTTTCAATGCCCTGGCTGAGGGAAGGAGGTTCTCACCCAAGATTTGATGATACATGGCCCCGTCCATCGTCCCTTTGATGCGATGAAGTTGTCCCGTCCCCTTAGCAGAAAAACACCCCCAAAGCATAATGTTTCCACCTACATGTTTGACTGTGGGGATGGGGTTCTTGGGGTCAGAGGCAGCATTCCTCCAAACACGGCGAGTTGAGTTGATGCCAAAGAGCTTCATTTTGGTCTCATCTGACCACAACACTTTCACCCAGTTGTCCTCTGAATCATTCAGATGTTCATTGGCAAACTTCAGACGGCCATGTATATGTGCTTTCTTGAGCAGGGCGCTGCAGGATTTCAGTCCTTCACGGCGTAGTGTGTTACCAACTGTTTTCTTGGTGACTATGGTCCCAGCTGCCTTGAGATCATTGTCAAGATCCTCCTGTGTAGTTCTGGGCTGATTCCTCACCGTTCTCATGATCATTGCAGCTCCACGAGGTGAGATATTGCATGGAGCCCCAGGCTGAGGGAGATTGACAGTCCTTTGTGTTTCTTCCATTTGTGAATAATTGCACCAACTGTTGTCACCTTCTCACCAAGTTGTTTGGCGATGGTCTTGTAGCCCCTTCCAGCCTTGTGAAGGTCTACAATCTTGTCCCTGATATCCTTGGAGAGCTCTTTGGTCGTGGCCATGGTGGAGAGTGTGGAATCTGATTGATTGATTGTTTCTGTGAACAGGTGTCTTTTATACAGGTAACAAGCTGAGATTAGGAGCACTCCCTTTAAGAGTTTGCTCCTAATCTCAGCTCATTACCTGTATAAAAGACACCTGGGAGCCAGAAATCTTTCTGATTGAGAGGGGGTCAAATACTTATTTCCCTCATTAAAATGCAAATCAATTTATAACATTATTGACATGCGTTTTTTGGGATTTTGTTGTTGTTATTCTGTATCTCACTGTTCAAATAAACCTACCATTAAAATTATAGACTGATCATTTCTTTGTCAGTGGGCAAACGTACAAAATCAGCAGGGGATCAAATACTTTTTTCCCTCACTGTAGCGGTGCAACGCAGCGCACAGCGAGGCCGAGACACTCTTCATATCTAACTTGAGTTCCCTGCGATGTACAATTGTGTATCATCAGCATATTGATGGAACTTGATGTCAGGCGATGAGATGACATCAGCGATCGGAGAGACGTATAATGAAAATAGAAAGGATGCGAGGACGAACCCCTGTGGTACGCCAACTAGTTACGGCATAGGCGATGACTGTTTGCCACCCAGCTTGACAAACTGTGATCGACCATGTAGATATCACTCAATTCACCCCAGTGCCATACTCCGAACCTTGACCTGAGCTACCCGATGAGTATCTAATTTCATGGTCGATGGTGTTGAAGGCGGCTGAGAGATCGAGACCAACCAACATTGTGGCAGACCGGTCATCCATGATCTTGCAGAGGTCATCAGTGATCTTTAGTAGAGCTGTCTCAATGCTTTGGAAATTCCTGTATACTGACAGCAACGGTTTGAATCTGCTCATCGCAGGCATTCTATGACTCACACTCCTGTCCATCACTTATCTGCACCCCCCAGCTCATCAGACCACATAGCCCGGATCGTCTTTTCACCAAAACTGGCACCTCACGCGCTTTTTTCAGGCGAGGTAGGGCTCCCACATGGCATCAGGCCGCAACTCTTGTGCGCGCCTCTTTTGCCCCTCCCGCAGCCCAGGCTCGTGCTCCTCGGATGCACCGCGTCGCCCCGAGGCACTGGCAGCACGCACTGGGCGTGGATTGAGGTTGCCTGCCTTATGTTCCACCCTCTCAACATTAAATTCGAGACAACCGCAGGGCCATTCTGTGCTGCCTCACGCCTTGCCCCTCACTCACCCTGGGGCTGTCCCTCTCCTGTCACTCTCCTCGTCTTGCCCCAGTGTGGCTTCCCGGCGGGTGGGGGGCGAAACTCGGGGGGAGGGGGGGCGGAGGAGGGGGGGCAGCTCGCATGGGCCATGACAAATTCCTTTGGCATGATTCTTGTGATGATCTTAGGAGAGTGCGAATTCATACAAATAACTATGTTCTAAATCAAACCACATTTTTTTTATCGGCCACCTGCTGCGCGTCTAAGATTTATTTAAATATGCCTACAAGACGGCCAGAGTCACCTGAGAAGTATGGAAGAAATGTTGCTTAAACTTGGAAATGTATAGAGCACCGTTTCATCTTTAATAGAGTACCACGATTTTTAGGATTCACGGTGCACACTTACAACTGGAGACAGATGTCCATAATTTAGGACCATTGTAGCCTCAGCCTGGATTTTCCATAAAATACTTCTGACATGTGCATATCACTACCAGACGACTGCGTATGTAATATTTTACGACTCATTTTATGCAGATGATTGTCTAACAGTTATTGGAACAAACAATGTATACGAATTTAATTGCATAGTATATGCGCATGAGTGCACTCTTACAAGTTATGCACAAGTGCAACTTTTAAAACGTCCTGAAACTTACTTTCAAGCAATAACTTTTTTTGGGCCAGAAATGGAGCACGTACAATACAGCCAGTGTAATAGCAATTCTACATAACCATAATTTCCACCAGCCTCCGCATCTGTTGAACCAACCGCAAAATCAGCGTTCTCCGCGATGCGATATGGAGGCCATCCACGGTGTTTCGCAATGTTGGCACATACTTAAGAGGACTGCTCTGCCAAAAACACACATTTGGCTCTCGCATATATGACATAATTTATCCCTTGCCACTCTGCAGCAAGAGACAGCTCGACATGCGTGAGGGTATATATATTTAACTGCAGCACCGGCTGTCTGCTCACTCTGCAGAACTAGATACCCGCTGACGGTGGCACACCTGGATACAAGTTGCTCCTACGCCTGTGGGGAGTTCTCGCGGCTTAAGAAGATGCATGGCCCCAGGTGCGAAGCGCGGATCGTGGCAAGCCGCAAGATGCACACGCGCACGGGCATCGCGTTTGCTCTCCTGGTCACCGCGTGCACCGTGGGCTCTCCTCTCGTCCCGCAAGTGGCCACGCAAGGCCGCTCTGACCTGGCAGCCAGGGTCAGTACCTGGGCCATGGCGGAAGTCGGAGTCACCGCAAGATCAAAGCTTGACAAGCACGATTGCCCGTCCTGTGGTATGGACTTTCTGCGTCGCGTGGAGGAGAAGCAGGGAGAGGCGCTGCTCGTAGAGGCAGTGAAAAGCCATATCCTCAACAAACTGGGACTCCACGAGAGGCCGACCGCCATTCGACCCATTCCGCGGCTGGCGATGCTCGCTGCGGTGAACAAGTTGCACCACACGAAGCGGGGCAGGCGAGGCCACGATGACACCGAAAAGACTCAGCGCGGCCACGATTTCGCCGAGATCATAAGCTTTGCGAGCTTTGGTGCGTAAGTTACGCGAGCGTTGCACCCACACAACCCGTGAAACACATCCAGGCAAAAGGCTGCGATGAGAACCCACGTGAAAGTGGTGTTTGCTGCCTCGCGGGTGAGCGTTCACAGTAACAAGCGGTTGGACGGCAGCTCAATTAAAAAGAGTCGAAGGGGGGAAAAAGACCGTGGCGGCTCCCAATGAGGAGCGTGTCCACTTTGTTACAAGGCGTGGACGGATTTCACGCTAAAAGTGAATGCAGGTGGGGGACACAGCTGGAGCGCAACCGTGATGTTCTTGTCTGCATGTGGCATGCGGCGATCTTTGATAGTGATGCTTAGCGTTTCGCTGAGCACCGCATTTCAATTCAAAACCGCAAGAGTGCTTTAATAAGAAGTGTCTCAGTCATTGCAGCGTCAATGATAAGTGTTGAATGTAAACATTCATTTCCAATTTCAGCTGGTGAAATTGTGTTTTTGTCAAATTCAAAGGATCTTCCTGCACGAATGAGTAATGCAGTGGCTTGCATCCCTGTTGTGTAAATTCCACATTCTTTTGGCAAATGTAATTTTCTCCAAAGGATGGCAGCCGGCAATGTTCCACAAAGTCCAGGTATCCACGAGGGAGGTGTTAGCCTGATCCCACAGGGATAGTGGGCCGATTTGATCCCCAAATGGTTCTTAAACTCCCAACCCTGGCAATTTCAGTCAAGTTTTCCATTTGCACCAAAATCCTCAAACAGAGTCGCACTCTCATTGATCCATTCCTGTGTCGTGTGGGAAAACCCAGCTTTTGTCTTTAAAGGATTACTGTGGTTTCAACCGGAACATCACAGGATGGACTCATTCAAATTGTGGATACATTTTTAAAGGTCTGAGCTCTGAGCTGCAATGCCATTCATCGATAGGAGCCCCTTCCAATTTCCACTGCTTCATTCCATTCGATCGATAGCTACTGATCGTGAGTCAAATTCGCCACGAATGAACCACATTTACAACACTGACCAATTTGAGCTTTTGGTGTAGATCGCAACTGGGTGATTAAGCAGCTTCCGATAATTGTAAAACAAATTTAAATAACAGAAACCTAAGGAGCACATCATAATCATTTGGTGAAATAAGCCTGCTGGCAGGTGTGGGTCTTAAATTGGAGCTGATCCCGCAGATACGCGCAAAGGGGGCATCGTCGCGGGCCACAGTGTGGCCAGCACACCGTTGCTACTGGCAGTTGGGTCAATGCAGCTCGTGCGAGTGCAGCCGTAAAATGTTTCGGCTGAAGGCGTGAATGCGTTAGCAGCCTGAGTACGTCAGCGGAAAGCAAACCCCCGTTCCCACCGCAGGACCACGGGGTCAAGTGAAAATGTCAAAGCCGTCCGCGTGTTCAAAGGAGGCGTCGAGCAGTGCGTCTCTTAAAAGTGAAAGCAATTTTGCTGGAACATTCCGAATTATTCCCTTTACACTGCCTGTGCAACAATGGCGGTGCATGGCCGTAATCCAAAGCTTAAACAAAAAAATTGGGGCATCAAGTAGATGGCAGTGCAGCGAGTTGGGGATTTAGTGAACTAGGTTATGCGGAACTTAGAACGCTGTCCTCCTCTCGTGGTGCGTGGTTTTTATCTGTGTGCTCCGGTTTCCCCCGCACATGAAGCGCTTGTGATAGTGGCTTCTGAAAATGCATCATGAGACTCAATGAGGCTTTTTTCTGGATAAGCAAGTTGCATTATTATCATTCTGATAAAAACGCATAGCTTTTTTCAACAACGCCGTGGCCTTAAAAGTATTTGTATATATCATAGGTTATGTTTCGGGTAATGGCCCTTCTTGATAGCACGCCAGTGTAGAAGTGTGCTGAAAGGCCATTGAGAATCAGAATATTTGTTCATACTAGAGGAATCCGATAAACTATGAAGCTTTTTTTACAGATGTCCTGTAGGGGCAGCTCAGAACGTTACAACAAAAAACAACACAAAAAACACGATATGAGTGCAAAGTATAGGAAAGGTAAACAAATCACTTTAAAAATATATACAAATTAAAATTAACTATTTCTATCATTGCCCAAAACGTTGTCTATTATATATTACCTTCCTTTTAAGGCAGTGTTAGAGAATAATGTTGGGTTTTGCTACATTTACAACAAGTATAATGTGTTTTATATATTTTTTCCCTTCTACGTGACTTTACCGAAAGAACCAAGCATATGAATCCCTGCAGTCACGGAAGATTTAAATCTAAATTTAAGTATAATGTGATGCAGCATCACTGTTTACAGTATCATATTTCCCCTCCAGTGGCATAACAAATAATACCCGAATGTGTCCGCGCACGTGGCCTCAATTGGCCTCCCGTCGGGAGTGGGGCGGCTGCGGTTCATCATCGCTGTGCAAAGACAACGATCCCCCATAAAGCCTCAAAAGACTTACGGGGTAGGTGCTGTTAGCGAGGAACACCTATGAAGGCGGGCACGGCACACGAGGGAGTGGGTGGCCAGCACCACGCCTGTCCGCCTTTGTCTCTCCAGTGGCGATATTTACACCCCACCAGGTACGCATTTGAGGCTGAGTCGACCTAGAGGAGGCCCACAACCGGTTCAGATAATCGTCACTGGTATTACGAAAAGTTTTTTTTTTATATAAACTAAACATTTTTATTTTATTTTACCAGATAGGGTCCACTGAGCTATGTAGCTTTTTTTCAAAAGCGACTTGACCACAAATGACAGCTCAACGAAGTGGCTTATCACGTAGACATGTATCGCAGCCAAATACCGTAAACCCGGAAAAAAATCCACACGACCACGGGGAAAACACGCAAACCCCAAATATACAGCAGGCGTCAGGGTCAGGATCGAACTCACGCCCTCCTGCATACCAAGTGGAGGGAGTTAACACCTCGCCACCGTGTCGCCCCGAACAGTGAGCGTAACGCGGCGCACTAACCGCTATCCCCCTCAACCCCAACACTCCAAACTCGCGCAGATGGCTGGCACTCGGGCGCCCTGCAACTGCGCCTGGAGTTCCCCGCCGAGCAACAGCTGCGCGTCGCGTGGCTGCGCAGCGCCGAGCTGTGGCTCCACGTGCACGCCGCGGACGGGGGCCCGCGGCTTCCCGACGGCGCGGCGGTGGCCGCCCTGCTGCGCGTCAGGGTCCTCTCGGCCGGCGCCCCCGCCGTCGAGGTGCAGCGGCGCGTCCAGGTCACCGCCGAGGACGCGTGGGTCGCCGTGCCGCTACTCGACGCCATGCGCGCCGCCCTGCAGAGGGCGGACGGGGCGCTCGCCGTCAGCGTGGAGTGCGACGGCTGCGTCGTGCTGTCGGGTCGGGCCGCGAAAGGTCAAGGCGAGGCCGCCGCCGTCGCCTCCGCCCCTGCTGCTGTTGATAGCGGCGGCGGTGGCGAGAAGAACGTGGACTTGGCGGAATTCGGACCGCACGGGTGGCCCTTCCTCCTGCTGCGCATGGCGTCGTCTCAGGGCGGGAGCCGCACGCGCAGGAGAAGTGTGGAGTGCGACGGCTCGTCCAGCCTGTGCTGCCTCCAGCGCTTCTACGTGGAGTTTCGGAAGATCAACTGGGGCGACTGGATCATCCAGCCGGCGGGTTTCCAGAGCAACTACTGCCAGGGCGAGTGCAGGGCGGCGCAGGTCCTGAACGGCACCATCTCGGCCTCCTCCCTGCGCAGCGTGATCATCAACCAGTACAACCTGCGCGGCCTGGGGTCCGTGGCCGCTAAGACCACCTGCTGCGTGCCCGTCCGCTTCAGCTCGGTGTCCATGCTCTACTACGACGATAAGAACAACATCATGAAGAAGGACGTGCCAGACATGGTGGCGGAGGAGTGCGGCTGCATCTGAGAGGATAAAAACAACCTCTCGTCGTGCCGTCACGCACCTAAGCGTACGCAAGGCCACGATATGCCTCACATACGTGTACAGCTTTGTTCGTGAGGAAAAAGAATCGTAATAATTTAAGGTAATTTCTCAAATACAGGGTGATCAAATTTGCAGATGCCCATCTATAGTGATAGGGAACATTTATGGACAAATTTATTTTCAAAGGATCCACTTCCCTCCCACCAATCTCAAGTCGCTCATTAAACCGTTTTCGTATGTCTTTTTATATTTATATGTAGAGATGGATTCGGCGCCCTCCAAAACACCCCAGATACAAATGTCTCTCGGGCTAGGTTCAGAAGAGAAAAAGTGACAAAAAATTGGGGGCCTAAAATATTTTTTTCTTTTTTGATGTCACATACAGATTCATCCCTCTTGAAAACGAAATGATGCAATATGTTTTTGGATCTTGGCTCAAAAACAAACAATTGAAATGTTAATGCTCAATTATTGCGGAGGTAAAACATGTACAGTTTTGGGGGGATTAAACAATCTTTAGTCATATTTTAATTTAGAACGATACAAATCCTTCACACTTTTATATGCCTAGGTTAAAAAGTGAGAAACTAAAAAGATTAATGAAATATAACTAAAATGAATCGATTTTTTTTCTCTCAAGGATCTAAAATCAAATTATGTGGCTTTCCGACGTATCTCGTCATGAGCATAGACTCAACTATATTTTGTGCCAAATATCAGCTTCATCCTTCCGGTAATCTCATCAGGACCCAAGCGCGTTGCTCAGTCACTCTTGACCGGCTATGCACGTAGGATGACGGCAGGGGTGCCGCAGCGATGTCACACAGGCCGAACTACGCACAAGGTCGCCCTCGTTACACTCAAAGTGCTTGCCACAAATTAACCACAAGGAGCATAAACCATCTAGCAAACTCCAGTCATCCTCGCAGCAGCGGCTTTGGGCTAAACATTGAATAAAGACGGTCACTGCATCGTGCACTTTCAGATGCGCTTCTGTGACCGTCCGGAACGCTTTTCCTTTCAATGTTAGGAAGCCACTGAAGCTATGCACTTTGAAATCTAAATTGAAAACTCATTGTTTTCGAAGTGCTTTTTGTGTTTAGTTTTTTGTCCTATCCCCACACCTCCCATTATAGCACGGTTGACTCCGTACGGTGCGAATGAACTTCAACATACATACAGTGAGGGAAAAAAGTATTTGATCCCCTGCTGATTTTGTACGTTTGCCCACTGACAAAGAAATGATCAGTATATCATTTTAATGGTAGGTTTATTTGAACAGTGAGAGACAGAATACCAACAAAAAAATCCAGAAAAACTGCATGTCAAAACTGTTATAAATTGATTTGCATTTTAATGAGGAAAATAAGTATTTGACCCCTCTGCAAAACATGACTTAGTACTTGGTGGCAAAACCCTTGTTGGCAATCACAGAGGTCAGACGTTTCTTGTAGTTGGCTACCAGGTTGGCACACATCTCAGGAGGGATTTTGTCCCACTCCTCTTTGCAGATCTTCTCCAAGTCATTAAGGTTTCGAGGCTGACGTTTGGCAACTTGAACCTTCAGCTCCCTCCACAGATTTTCTATGGGATTAAGGTCTGGAGACTGGCTAGGCCACTCCAGGACCTTAATGTGCTTCTTTTTGAGCCACTCCTTTGTTGCCTTGGCCGTGTGTTTTGGGTCATTGACATGCTGGAATACCCATCCACGACCCATTTTCAATGCCCTGGCTGAGAGAAGGAGGTTCTCACCCAAGATTTGACGGTACATGGCCTCATCCATCGTCCCTTTGATGCGGTGAAGTTGTCCTGTCCCCTTAGCAGAAAAACACCCCCAAAGCATAATGTTTCCACCTCCATGTTTGACGGTGTGGATGGTGTTCTTGGGGTCATAGGCAGCATTCCTCCTCCTCCAAACACGGCGAGTTGAGTTGATGCCAAAGAGCTCCATTTTGGTCTCATCTGACCACAACACTTTCACCCAGTTGTGCTCTGAATCATTCAGATGTTCATTGGCAAAACTTCAGACGGGCATCTATATGTGCTTTCTTGAGCAGGGGGACCTTGCGGGCGCTGCAGGATCTCAGTCCTTCACGGCGTAGTGTGTTACCAACTGTTTTCTTGGTGACTATGGTCCCAGCTGCCTTGAAATCATTGACAAGATCCTCCTGTGTAGTTCTGGGCTGATTCCTCACTGTTCTCATGATAATTGCAACTCCACGAGGTGAGATCTTGCATGGAGCCCCAGGCCGAGGGATATTTACAGTTCTTTTGTGTTTCTTCCATTTGCGAATAATCGCACGAACTGTTGTCACCTTCTCACCAAGCTGCTTGGCGATGGTCTTGTAGCCAATTCCAGCCTTGTATAGGTCTTCAATCTTGTCCCTGACATCCTTGGAGAGCTCTTTGGTCTTGGCCATGGTGGAGAGTTTGGAATCTGATTGATTGATTGCTTCTGTGAACAGGTGTCTTTTATACAGGTAACGAGCTGAGATTAGGAGCACACTCTTAAAGGGAGTGCTCCTAATCTCAGCTTGTTACCTGTATAAAAGACACCTGGGAGCCAGAAATCTTTCTGTATGAGAGGGGGTCAAATACTTATTTCCCTCATTAAAATGCAAATCAATTTATAAAATGTTTGACATGCGTTTTTCTGGATTTTGTTGTTGTTATTCTGTCTGTCACTGTTCAAATAAACCTACCATTAAATTATAGACTGATCATTTCTTTGTCAGTGGGCAAACGTACAAAATCAGCAGGGGATCAAATACTTTTTTCCCTCACTGTACACGGCCGAGCACACACGGCCTGGCTATGTATGTACCGGGCAAGACTTGTGCTTTGTCGGTTGCATCTCCCTTCGAGTGCAGTCTTCCTCGCGGTGGCCCACGGGTCCGAACACTTCGCTGGCACCAGAGGTGCTGGGTTATATTTTAATTTTTAACCACGCTTCATTAGATTGGGTTCTCAAGTGCAATGCATTGGTGGTGTCAGCCCAGTCACCAATGACTGCACAAAAAGACCCCCCCACCCACCATAATACTACATTTGGTTTTTCATCTAATTTGGCCAAATTTCATATTTGATAATGAAACACATCGGCTTGACTGTCATGTGGAAGTGCGTGTCCCCTGGTGTGAGGATGTCGTTCATTGACGCCTTCTTCCATGGGCTGTTCTCCGACACGGGGCGATGCACTCTGCCAGAGTTCCAAGCAGATACATTGTCTCGTGACCTGACGCCGATAGCACAATTCAAATTTAATTGGAGCAGAGTTTTCAAACTGTTACAGGGTTACCGCTGTAACATCAAATAACCATGAGCGTCATTGTGAAGACAACAAGGAACAACGTAGTTTTCCTTCACATAACTGTCCTTCCATATAAAAACTAAAGTATATTTTACACATCCCATCAGCCACATGGCCTGGGAGTGCAGAAGTATTGGTTCAACACAAGAACAACTCTGGACCATTTTCAGTCTCATCAACAGTCAGGCTTGCTTGAACCAATGCTGGTGAAACTGCCTGTTGTTACTGCTTTAGATTGGCCAGTGTGAATCCGGGCAGAGTAAACATATTTGGGTGGTTTGATGTGTGGAATTATTATTGTAACGGCAGTATGATTATTATTCTACAGAATAGACACACCTCTACAGCTGTAGGCACTGATGATTGTAGAGGTGGATGCAAGTGCTGAGTTCTGCGCTTTTGTGCACAATTTTATGATAGGGTTATAAGATTCTGCTTATGTTTGGTTTGTATTTCTGTAGCTTCGTAACGCTTCGATGCTACTTGAAACTCAATAAAATGGCGCTTTACACACTTCATGCACGCACTTACCCCCCCCCCCCCCCCCCCCGTATAGCCTTATCAGACTGTTGGGAGCAAGTGCTGTTAGTGAGAACCTTTCAAGGCGGCACGGCACACAATGGGGTGGGTAGACAGCACCACGCCTGGCCGCCCTTGTCTCCACAGTGGTAATGTTCATACATAGCACCAGGTACTCATTTTGGGCTGAATCGACCTACGGGAGGCCCAGCATAATACTCATACAACCACAAACAGTTTAACCTGCGTAAAGTCACAAAATCATTAACACTTATGTATGATTACATCAGCCATAACGACGTAAGCACAGTCCTATGGCCAGTGCATACGCGTATGTGAAGGTGTAACTTGTGTTTATAAAAAAAATACACTTTAACGTTACCACAAATTTAGTTGTTATGGCCTGATGAGGCTGGTTGTAATTCTAGATTTGAAGCTTTCGTGACTGCAAGGATTCATATTCTTAAGTTTTTTTTCGGTAAAGTCACGTAGGTAAAAAATACAAGTAAAAATTTAAATTAATAGAAACAAAATAAAATAATAAATCACGACGTTTCGGAGGCAACACAAGTCTCCGTCATCAGGTGGGACCGTCATAGCTAGATTTACTGTATCAAGTGGGGCAAAAAGTTCCAAGATACAAGTTCTTAAATACAAGTTAAGGGGGGGGGAGGAGGTGGGGAATGAGCTTATCTGAGTGTGGTAGCCAATTAATGGAACGTATGGGGGGGGGTGCTAAAAGAGAACAACATGTGCACATGTTAAAGGTGCACCTGCTAGAAGCGAGCGAGCGACACTGCGTATGTTGTTTAACCCAGTGTTGGTGACAGCCCAAATACAAAAAAGGAGAGTACTGTTAAACGCTGTGGATGTTAACACTCGGTGAAGTAGAATAGTACCTGTCAAATAAGATGGTCCAAAAATGTGTAGTTAAATCTTTTTTGCATGGTTAATAACATCTTTCCAATGATTACTCAGTTTGTACCCATCATCATGGTCGAAATTATGTCTGTGTTTGTATATCTGGATGGCTTCGTGTACAAACCTTTAATGGTAGCCAGAGGGTTTGCAGAGCACCTTGGTCTCGGAAAAAACAATATCATGAGAACCCACAGCGTTGTAGCAATGATCGGCAACGGCGGAATACTCAATT